AGGATTAGTCATCTTATTCAGCTACAGATTTAATAGTTTAAATTTCATATTTAATCATCAAGCTCACCAGTCGAAAAATAAAATAACGGAGCTCAGTCCCTGTCCCAAGCACTGCAGAATAGTCCCTTCCACGCCGGAATCCAACCCACACTTGGACACCGAGTAAACCAGCAATGATGTTTAGCTATAAAGTCATCAGACAGCTCTTAAGAGCAAAACACCGTTTAAAACCCTCTCCTACACACAGCACACCTGTCCTCACCTCCGCGAGGCTTCGTGCTGGGAGACAGGTTCCAGGAAGCCTCTCCAAGCTGGGGGTGTGATGAGCTCACTGCGGGTGCAGAGCACACGGAGGGTCCCCAGCGAGCGTGCTCCCAGCCCAGCTCAAATCATTACTGTCTGTGAAGTCAGTACCTGATCTGACACGGAACCACAGACGCTGACATTTCTACTGGGTGAAATCCTGACATCTCCTATTGTCTTTGAAAGAGCCTCAAAGGCCCAGGCCACCCTGGACGAGAGAAAACACCGGTCCCTAAGTGCCATGCAGTCCTCGGCACAGATGCCAGGTTCAGGGTCTAATTACCTCTGGGAAAGTATCTTCGGGCAACGTAAGGATCATTTTATGCTGCCTCGGGAAATCATAATTAATTCTGAAAACATTTAGAGTTGTGTTAAAATATTGCTTGGAAAATCCGGGTGGTGCTTTGAGGGCTTCTAATGGAATCAAAGACCCTACTGTGCCTGCAATCACTAAGGCCCTGAGAAAAGAGATTTTCATGGCTGTTGACTTCAAAAGGCTCTGTGTGGTGGCTTAACTCTCCCTCGGAGGGGCTTTCAGGTTAGGGAGGGGGCTTTGCCCGCTACTGATTGCTGTGAGGTTCACAGAGCTGCCACCGGAGATGCTATGGGCGGGGCTGTTGAATCAAAATAAATACACGTGGCAGATCTGGGTGCCAGCATGGAGGAGGTTTGTGGGGCAGGAGGCAATTGATGGCTCTGGTTTGGGGAATGAAGCAATAAATTAAGGAGGCCATTTTCTGGTACCAGAAAACCTCAGACACTTTTCACCACCCTCTTGTTGGTCCTGGGGCTACACCACTAACACTCTGAAGCCCCAGAAGGACATCAGAGCTTCCGCCAAAATTGCTGGAGGAAAGAAAGGCTAGGAGTAGCGAATGAGGTTTCTCCCTGTGGACTCGCCTGCTCTCAGAACTCTCTCTACCTGCCCTCCTATCTTTGGGTTCTTCCTTATCGAATGCCTACAAATATTTGATTGTGTTGCACTGTAACTGATAACTAACAAAACCAGTGACTGCTCCATCAGAAGAGATTAAATGAAGCAAAAGGCCAGAGGAGACTGAGAGCCTGTTGATCCTGTTAAAATTGCACCTCAGAATGACGATCAGACAAAAAAAAATGTATTTAAGTGTCAAAGACACAAATCATCTGATCGGTACAAGTTAGAGGAGGTCATAAACTCTAAGCCATAAAGCTTACTTATTTTGACTTTACTTGTAATAAACTCTCCCTCATCAATCTTCCCCACCAGCTCCCTCCAGAACCAGTTCCTCTATGGGGATGGGGGACCCAGGTCTGTGGATGGGCTGCTCTCTGGGCGCCAAGTGCAGGCACATCTCCATCTGCCGTGGCCTCTGCCTACATCTCACCTCTGCAACGGTCACATGTGTGGCCTCCCGTGGCCTTTAGCTGCCACACGTGGGTGTGCAAGCCTCTCCACCAAGGAGAGAGAACAGGGTGGGCTCTCCCTCCTCCTGGTCAGAGAGCACCCTGACGTCAAATCAGCACAATGAACTCTGTCTATCAGGTCACCCTCTCCCCACACAGAAATCCCACTTGTTGAAGACTCACGCTCTGTGCCCTTTAAGTCAGGAAAACCACTAGGTAAATCTAAGTCTACCAGTTATGACTCAATACAGAAGAGCCAGAAAGGCTCAGAATAGGAGAAGAAACCCTGCCTAGTGCCCTTAACTTGCAAACTCCTTCCCAGGCGTCCAGGGCCTCCTGTGTGCCCCTTGCTGTGCTGGCCTGTGGGCGTCCCAGGGCTCAGCCCATCCCTCAGGAGGACCACGTGGCACACAGGGTGGAGCTTGTAACTCAACACCTGCAAAGCAGCATCAGGTATCCTGGATGCAGTGGGAGCACACACGGTTGGCATCAGCCAGGGGTAGCCTCCCCAAGAAGCCGGGTCCTGCAGGGTGCACGGAGGACCGGGGAAGGTGCAGAAGGGGGTGATGAGTAAGATCCTGGCGACAGAGACTCCCCGTAGCCGTGAGGAGCCCTGCAGCTGAGACAAGAGAAGGCGGAAGGGGATGAAGGAAGTGACGGGCAGGCCAGGGAGCAGGGCACATAGGTTGGTTCAAAAGCCACTGAGATTAAGAGATGCCAACGCAAAATGAGGCAGGGCAGGTTTGTAGAGGGAGAAAGTGTGGTCTAATGCCTTGGTATGACAGTCGTATGAGGAAAGTTACAGAAGAAAAGAAGAATCTTTGAGAGCCAAAATCATGACCCATTTCTTAGGAAGCAACCCCTCAGGCTGGGGCTTGATCTGTCCATGGGGTAAAACACTGGCCTCCGAAGACTAAATGCTCATTTTCCCTCAGTTAGTGTGAGCCGGGAAATCCGCGTACTCTCCTACACAGCACGTAAATAAATATCTGGCAGTCAACAAAGCCCCTAAAAAGTGAATTGTGTGTGAGGATATTATCAGTCTGGCTTGAAAAATAAAGGACGCTTATTGGCTGAAACTTAGAAAAACTGCTTAAAATGAAAACCATCCCCTTTTAGAAGAAAATGCATTGGCATGTGACTTAACGAGTGTCTGCCTACCCACCATGGTGCTGTGTTATTCTGGAAATTGTTTTCTCCTCTCCACAAGAGCAGCCTTGATCCAGGAGTTATTTTAAGACCTACTTGTTTTTCCCTAATAAGGATAATTATCTCCAAAAAAGCAAAATGATTAAGTGGTCATGAACGGTACACTCCCAAACATCTACAATTGCGAAACAAGCTGACCTTCACCGAGCTCGTGGAAGATGGTTTTCGTGCCTGGGGACCTGGGCTTCTCTGAAGGTGGGGGAAGCAAAGGGCACCTTTGTGCTCAGCCTAACCAACCTCCTCTCCAACGGGCTGCGGTCTCCGTAGCTCTGAGGTGCACCTCTTCACACGGTTTTCCCTGAAATGCTAGACGAGCAGGAGTGAGGTCACGTGGTACTTCTAAATATCCAGGGTCAGAGCTTCCCAGAAGATGAGTGACCACTGCAGCCTTTAAATCCAGAGTCCCAGCCCAGGGTTCCATGTACTGGATTCCACCATGAACACACATTCCTTCCTAGCCAAGCACACCCACCAAGAGGAGATGGGAGGGGTTGTGCTCTGTCTGTCGTAGCATCTCTAACTAGTGAAGAGCAGAGCTTGACCGAACATTCATTAATGACGTTCACGTTATATGTGCAAAAACCACATGCAGCTCAATTTAGAAGTAATGCAGTTTTGGATTATAAAGAAAAAAAAAAAAAATTGAGGGAACAGTGGTTGACTTCGCCTTCCAATGCAGGGGGTGCAGGTTCGATCCCTGGTCGGGGAGCTAAGATCCCACATGCCTCGCGGCCAAAAAACCAAAACAGAAAACAGAAGCGATAGTGTAACAAATTCAATAAAGACTTTTAAAATGGTCCACATCAAAAACATCTTAAAAGAAAAAAATCGAAAGTCTTGGAACCTCAGAGACAAAGAACAGATTGCCTGAAGTTTCTGTGGCATTGCTAAGACTAGCTAAAAGGAGCAAACATTCACTGGGGTCTTGCCATGGGCCAAGCATGTGCTAAATTCATTCTTTCCCGTTAAGAAAACTATTGTCCACCGGTGTTAAAACTTGACTGCAGAGGCAAGAGATTGTACCAGACAAGGGAGGGAGAGAGCGCCCTTCTGACTGGAGGACACCATTCGGGGAGCTCCGGGATCCAGAAAGCAGCCTGATTCGTGAACATAAACCCCAGTGACCACGCACACAGAGAGACATCGTGTGATGATCACAGTAATGTCAGAGATTCCTCCACCTGCATCGAAAGGAAGGTGTGGAGAGGGGAAACAGCGGAAGACCCATGACAAATGTCTCCGAACAAGCATGGGACAGCAGAGTGTTTTGGGCATGGCTGTGCTCTGCTCCCCCCACCCCCAGACCAGGTCCTGCCTTCTCTGCTCCCTCTGTGTCCAGTGCCTTCGTTCCAGGTATGGCTGGAGGGATACGGAGGTGGATGGGTGACCCTCTAGGCTTCTCTACCTCTGCTCACAGCAGAGAAACATCTTTACTTTTCGGACTGTAAAACTCTCTTTACCATTGACAGTACAAATCATGCAAGGACCACAGAATTTTTCTAAACAGGAAATTATCCAGACTCTGTGTAAGACCAAGATCCACCACTCGCGCTAGAAGAAAGACGTTAGAGAATGGTTTTCATGGTCTCTGAGGCTGTGGCTACATGCACACAATCTGGAGGCATTTAAAGGAAAAAAAAGAGGATGGAAATGAAGCAAAATAGCAAAACCAGCCTTGCAGCATCCCTCCGATGCCTGTGAAACTGCCATGATGCAGGAGTCATGTCGCTAACTCTGCGATCTCATCAGATAACTGCAACCCGGCGGGGGTCGGCCGGCGCGGGGCTCACGCGACACGACCAAGTTCAACCTCACATAAATTTCTGGCAGACACTGGGTCCAGGCGGGGCTTGAGGTTTAACTGTTGAAATTATCATTTTTGGTGTATCACAAACACTTATGGGCTTTCTGATGAAAGAGAACATCCATAAAACATTTCTGGGAATGTATTTTTAATAATCATAAGGTTAAACTCACTGCTTCTGTTAATTTGAAATCATTCTTTGCAACTAAATTCGCTTGAGATCCTTCCTCATCCTAAATCTGCAAGAAAACTCGAAGTGGCAGCTGGCGCATCCGACCGAACCCGTCGTTCTACTCACCCTGTAGCTGGCGGCCCTTGTACAAATCCCTTGTTTTGGTCGGGTGAGCCCTGGCCGTGTTGTCACATTTCGGCTGTTCGTACCTAGGAGGAGGGGAAGGAAAGAGAAAAGAGCCAGTTAGAGACACTGAGATGGGGGCTGCCTTGCACACCCGTGTGGCTTCCTTGGTCCCCGGGACACGTCGGGCATCTGTTCCTCACGTTACAGTGCTCGGGATGTATGACCTTTGGTGACCTTTGTGGCAATTTAGCATATTCTTCACAGTCAGTAGGAGGAAGCATGACGCACAGGGCTCTGTCCCTCCATCCAGTTTCTGAAACACAACCTTTAGAGTGGCTGCTGAACGCCCCTGCCTAGGACGGGATTTTGATAGGGTTCAGGGTGGGGGGAGGGGCTGAGGAGGGGAAACGCAAGCACAAGCAGTACGTGAGGGCAG